AAAAAAAAAGAAAAATAACAGGTCTATAGTTTTAAAAACTGTCCAGGTCATGAAAGGCAAAAGAAAGATTAGAGAAACTTTTCCAGATTAACAGAGAGAGACTAAAGAGACATGGAAGCTTTGAGAACAATTGGCAGAATATGAATGACAATAGATTAGGTAACAGAACTGTATCAATSCTAAATTGCCTCCTATAATTATGTAAGCAACTGCCCTTGTTTTTAGGAAACACACTGAAGGATTGAAAGAAAGTGGCATTATACTGCAACTTACTCAGAAGTTTCAGAAAAAAAAATAGCATTAATCTGTGGATATTTATTTGAGGGGATGGAAAGATGATAAGTAAATGCAGTAAAATGTTAGAAAAAGCCAATAATCAGTAAATCTGGATGAAGGGAACATGCGAGTTTGTTTTTACAATTCTTGCCAAATTTCATTCAATTTGAAATGATTTAAAATGGCAAGTTAAAAGGGAAAAAAAATGGTTTAACTGAAGGATAGCAGGGGTTGAGAGGAAGAAGAGAGCCCTTGCAAAAGTTAAGTAAAAAACCATTCGATCTTAAAGTGTAAAGGTATTAAAGATAAAGGTACTGATATAAAGGTATTAAAATGGTCTAAAATTCTTTTTCTAGTTAAATATTTCAAAACATGTGAGCAACTCTTTTGATGGAAGACTTTATTCCTGGCCCAGGCATGCCCCCACAGTTGTACCCTCCACCTGAGAAGGGCTRTGCGGAAACCCTGCCTCTCTTTAAGGCTGGAGCCTGCCCCCAAAGGACACAAATTTTCGTCAGGTTAGCTTTAGCTCCTAAGGTTCCTGCCTGTGAAAATCCCCGTCCCTATCACCACCATTTCCTTTATTCTATTAGTCTCTACATTTTGCTTGAAGTGCCTAAATGCACCACCTGGGTCTCTTTATTCCTCATTGTCTTTCTCAGACTACCAGTCAAGTTCATGTCCTCACTGTCCTTACTACCGAAAGTCCCCAAAGGTCCCTCAGTTCCAGCCTCTCTCCTCATGACCTTACTGCAGCCTGAGCAATCCCTGAGAACCACCATCTTCCAGCAGCCTGCTCAGACACCTTCCTGTTGTCCCTGAGCACCACTGCCTCCTTTTCTGGGCCCCAGTTCCAGCATCCACAACTTCCTACTACCTTCCACCAAACAAGCATCTCCAGTCCAACCAAGCAAGTCTCTTCATTGTTCTAGCCAAGAAGTGTGGCTATACTCTACCTGCTGCCTCATCGAGAAGGCACTCATTCTCCATGGCCTATTACCCAGAACTGAGTTAAGGGACATATCATTTCCCCTAACAATCCAATCCGATCTGTCCTGGTGTCCCCTTTCTAAAGCTTTTCACTACTTCATAAGATGTACTACCCAATTTGCACTAAATTATATGCTGAACTGATCTGCTCTCACTTCATGATTTCTCACTGTTCTTGTGATCACACATAGTATCATTTTTTAATTTATCTGACAGAAAAAAACCCAGGAACAACCAACCCAAAATATTCATTTCTGTTCTGCAAAGAAAAGTTTAATTTTAGGTAGTTCCTCTAAGTAAATATTTTACACGATTTTTAAAAAAGTTTATCTGGAAAAGTATATCAAGCAGAAATAATTATCTGATTTTTATCAGATACCAATTTATAAGCCTGGCCATTTCCCTTACATTCTGAATGACTTGGCTACAAAATACAAAATACAATATTAGTAACAACATTTTAATACTAAAATGCCAAAGTTGTCACCTGTCTACTACATTACCTGTACTGGAGAAGCATTGGAATATCCCCCCATGGTGATGGGGACAGAGAACTGCTCCATAAACACAGGCAATGTGCCTAACTTCCCCGGGAAGACAAAGTCAAAGAGGGACCAGAGCTCCCGGAGGTTATTCTGCATCGGTGAGCCAGACAAGATGATCCGATGAGGTGTGCGAAACTAGTTTGGGAAATAAAGCACCTTCTTAATAAATTCGCCTTTTAACAGATGATGGATATCACTGCCTCAAAAAACTCCTGTGTAATACCATTATTTAACACATTTTACTCATTTTAATTCTTATATCATTTTCGTCCTCCTCAAAACATTTTATGCAATTATAATTCTTTAATTACATATAGATGAAAAATGGGGAAATTTTTTTCTTATATCAAACTGAATAATACAGGTTAGAGTAAGATTTGGTTACATTCTAACAACTGATCCTTATAAGAGACACTAAGTAATGTGAACAATCAGAGTTTTAAAAAACAATTAAGGGTGAGCATATAGAATTTTCTACATTTAGGTAAAATGTATATTTTTAATTTCTTAAGCATAAGGAATTAATTAATGTGTTATTAAAAGCAGAAAGCCTATTCTAAATTAAATACTATTGCCAACCTATAAACTCCTTGTTATGAGAGGTCATACCTGCTTGCAAGCAAGTGTGACAGCAGCATTTGGATTTCGAATTTTGTGTCCTTCATCCAAGATCACATAGTGCCAGTCATGCTTGCTAATATCATCTTGCATCAGACGAATGTAGGAGTAAGAAGTTATCAAAATTCCATGACAATGAGCAATATCTCGAATTAGTTTCTCCTAAAATCATAATAAAATAGGAAGGCTCATTTTAAAAAGGAAGTAAAATACAGTGAACATGACTTAAAGTGACACCCTTTCAATCAAGACACAATTTAGGACACTTTATAAAAATGTATAAACATAATACACATATCCTAAATAATACCTTTTCAGCAGTAAAAGTGTATTTTATATTTGTTTAATCTGTAAGGTAGTAAACAGTGACTAATAAAGCTATTGGTGGTAGGGAATGGGGAGCTCTCAAAAAGAAAGAGTAAGTTATAATATGTTAAGCCCTCAATTTTCATTATTCTTTGTCTCCACCCTTGTTAAACTCAAAATAACAAGATGAATGGAAAATGATTAATTGTTTTAAAATAAAGAAAGAAAATGAAAGAAACTTCATGGGGATAAGGAAGTCAAATTTAGAACTTCTAACAATATATAACATGAATTCCAGGAGACTAGAGTGAAAAGGATATAAACAGGAAAAAACTTAATACACTGAGGAGAGATGTAAGTCTAAAGAAAAAAAAAATCCCAGAATGTCAGGTAGAAACACTGAAAAGGCATATCCTTCTGGATGTCGGAATTCTAAAAAGAGAAATAAAAGAAAGAGAATGCCATGGCTTCTGACCAAAACAAAACAGAGAAAGAGAAGATTCCTTTCAGAGAAGAAAGACCTCCTGCACTGGGCATTTCTTTCTATAACCCTAAATATGTCAAAAAGCAAAGAAAAAAATCTTTATGTAGTTCTCAGGGGAGGGGAGAAGTGGAGATCCTGGAATTCTGCATCAATCCAATAAGCAGCTATGCTTGATGAAAAAAATTTTTAAATTCCAGCTTCAGATAGGCAAAGATTCAGAATATAGGCCAACCAGAGGCTGGCTAGATACACAGTGTGCTGAATTCAGAAGCAGAGAGGTGTGCACAAACAGGCAGATGCTGCCCTCTGGGAAGAGCTAAAGCAACAGTCTCTACCCTGTATGTTCTCGACAGACAGCATGCTCCTAGCAATCCGCTGAGTGAGGACAGAGCAACCACCACTAACCCCACTTTATATATGCAGAAACTGTGGCTTGGGTTTAGTAACCAATATACCACGTCACAAAGTTGGGAGTGGTAAAGTCAGAATTCCAAAGCAGAAGGTTGTCCATCCCAAAGCTGGAACTATTAAGTATTAGGCTGTACTACCTCTTACTATACTACAAAGAAAAACTTTAAAAGGGAAAATAAACGCATGACTACATAATAGAGAATTCCACTAATATGTATACTAATAATGCACCAATAATTTTTTTAAAATTTAAAATGGGGAAATGTAATATACATACTTGTGTATCTTAAAATAAATTATTAGAACATAATAGTCTAAATATTAAACACTTTTAAATATAAATGAAACTGTTAATAAATTATCTAAAATATAAAATATATTTTAAATTATACTATAATTCCTGCTTAGCTTAATATAACTTGGAGTAAAATTGGTGTAAAATAAAAGTGGATTATAAACCACACCCTATCCACAGGCAAAATGAAACACAGAATAGATACTGTACTAAGTCTTAACTGTGAGAGAAAAATATGTTAAACTACACTTGTCAAAAATTTAAGCCTATTACTGACTAATGGTTGCTGACTCTATATAAACACTAGAAAAGATAAAGGATATAAAACTATTAGACTACTATAGGGGGAAAAGTATTAAAAATAGCAAAAAAAAAAAACCAGAAAATGTAATAAACAGATAGTAAGTTGCAGATTAAAGATACATTAGAGGTCACCATGATGGCTGATTATTAACAGCAAGACTTTCCCTGGAGTAAGGCAAAACTCTAGCCTTGAGTTTAAAGGAGACCCAAACCAGGCCCACAATGAAAGCTGAAACAGAATTAATCAAAGATACACTAAGAACTGCAAACAAAAAAGGGTAGTTTTAGCAAAATGAACATGAGATAAACAAGTGAACAGAAACAAGAGGGATGTTTTAAATTTTAAAGGGAGTAAAATACTAAGAAGCAGCATTCACCTTTACCTGTCAAAAACACAGCAACAAACACAAAAGCAAAGCCCTGAGAACCACAACCTGTCCTGAGGCCTGACTACAGCTTCTGAGAAAAGGATGTTTAAAGGATACAGTTTTAAAAATTGGTATACAAAGGCTTTCAGTGCCACCAAGAAGCTCCCTTCATAGCTATCAACAGAGCCTTAGCATGCACAAAGAATACCTGGTCTCCCCTTCAACATTTCCCCTTTCTCTTCACTCATCCCTCCCCCTTCCTCTACTGGTCTTCCATCTATTTATTTATTTACTTTTAACTGGCGCCCTATAATTATACATAAAAGTGAGTTGATTCATTGTGATATATTCATACATGCACATAGCATAATTTGGTCAATTTCATTCCATAGTTCCTACTCTTTGCCTCCAAAAAAAAAAAAAAGGAATAAAATATACCCATTCTTTACAAATATGCTACTCAGAAAGGTTAAAATCTGAAAAAATAAAAAAATTTTAAAAGCCGAGATCAATATGTATAATCAACCCAATAAACTAAAAAGAGAAAAGACAGAATAAAAAAAGGAAAAAAAAGAATCTTATAGGAAAAAAAACCTGGCAGAACTGATGAGGAGAAAAAAAAAAAAAACTCTTTGAAAAGACCAAACCAATTTCTGAAAACTCAGCCAAAAGAACAGACTCATTCTCATTGTACAGCTTTAGAAATGTTAAAGAAACAGTTAACCAATGTAGAGAATACAAAAGTGTTAACCAATACCACATGCCAAAAAAATCTGAACATTTTGACATAAGACAATAGTTACAAAAAAAATTACCCTAATGAAAATGGACTCAAGAAAAATTAGACCAACTGAGCAGAATAATACTGAAGAACTTGAAAAAGATGTATGTTTTTCTATAAGTGACACAGGAATAGAACTAGCTATAGAACTGTTCCCAAATACAGAAAAAGAATGCATTTCAAATCCTTATTACAAGGCTAGCAAAACTCAATCTCCAAAACTGACAGATGTGTCCATACCTCCAAATCAAAAATTTATTACTTTAAAGCCCAACAATACATTAACCTAACAAGGCTTATCATAAGGAATATCAGAATAGCTAAATACTCGAAAGTCTAATATCATCAAGCAATTAAAACCATTTCATACAAACTATATAGAATTCAAAATATTTTAAAAAATGGTAATTTTACTAATATYATCTTCAAGAACTAGGATTAAAATGCTTTTTAATTCAACAGAGCATAAAAGAGTGCAAAGAGCACAACAAATTTTGAAGAAATAAAACAGAGAAGAATTATCTTCTCATGTGTCATAACACACTCCACATTTAAAGAGTTAATAAATTGCTTTGGAGATTCAAAACAATACCTGGGACCTTTAAAAAGGTTCGACAAGTAAGAACTGTATTATTATAACCACTCTTTTCCATCATCCCATTCACAAACTTCAACCTCTGTATAGTACTATAATGAAGGCCACACCTGTTTTAACCATTTTCTGATTTTTATCTTAGGAAAATGAAGCAGTAAATGTCTTAGGTGAACAGCCTTGCAAACATGTACAAGCTTGCCCAGGACTCACCTTCATCCCACTCACTGGACTACACAGACACTGCCTTGGCTGTCGATGCCCAGTGTAGAAAAATGTTGACCAGAGAAACAGGCTGCACATCTAGTACCTCAACTGGCCAGTTCCATAACTTTGAGAAGCCAGCTAGCTGATTTCTATAGTTCTTCCACATCTAATTTTTTTACTGAGATTGTAGGCAGGAAGCTCCCCTCTGAGTCTATCACTATCTTCCCCTCCAGGAAAGCAGGGGCTGCCAGAAGCCATGCCAGCAAGTGGGGTAAGGCAATAGCAAACTGAGCCATGGGACTATGCCCAAGTCCACTCTAGAAACAAGCCATGTGCACTCAGATAGTGAGAGGAAACAACTTCGGCTATCTGGGGCTTGAAAGAAAATGGAAGTTAAATTACCACTCATATTTGTAAAATGTCCACTGTGTATAGCCAAACCTGAAAATATGGGTCTACTTGCTCATGGCTCCTGGAACTCTTGTTGGATGCACAGACCAGCCATGGCCATCCCATTAACATTAAAGAAATACAATCCCAGAGTGAGTTCTGGACACCACTCTGTGTAGCTGGGAGCTTTACCCTAGTTAAATAAATGGGATGCCAAGCTTCAAATGTACACTAATGAAGCAATGAGTAGTTTCTTTTGCTTATTTAAGAATCAAAGTTTATTTGGAATATTCTGTAATGCTGAAATCAAAGAGATGCACAATTAACAAGAATTAAGAAGATGCTTTTATAAAAAAAGAATAAGTTGTGCAAAATGTCTCCATTGCAAAAATAATCTCCACTTAGCCACTTACAGCTCACACTATTTGTTTTCACCTGATTCAATCTCAGAATTCTATAACTGCCTCGACTGGAGTTTCAATAATGGTGAATTGTTGAATATTATGGACGTCTCTATCCAAACACTTAAGACAAATCATCTCGGGCGGTTTCAAATTAAAAGCTTGTAAAATATGTAACCTCTCCTAGTTTTTGCAATTAATAGGGTACATCTGCAATTAGCCTGACTTACTGAATGCAGTGCTGTTGTCATTAAAAGATGTCTGTGGAAATGCTGCTGTTATTATGGAGGCTCAGGAGACCAATCCCTCCTAGAGGGCAAACAGTGGACTGGTAGAAAACAACAGCCATAAATCACACTGTCAGGCAGCGGGGAGAGCGAGTGAAGCACAGGCACATGAAGGCCATTCACGGTAAACACAGCACGGCAGCTTCCCAGGCAGGATTTACTGCACCTGTAATTAATTAAAATTTCCTTCAAGCTAAATCTTTAATAAACAAGGATTTGTGCTGACAATGAAGAAAAAAGGACCCCAGCAACATAATTTTACAATAAAACTTATGGAACAAGCCTAGCATCTATCATTTCTTATATCAGGTGTATATACTGACTCTGAAGTTAATAGGAATTATATCACTTTGTGTTATAATTGTGTACATGGAATGGGTCTGAAATATTTAGGATGCTTGAGAGACCTGGTGGTTCCCTTTTCATTTTTACTTAAGATTTTTTTCCTGACCCCCGCCTTCAGCTTTTTAAAAAGCCAATTTATTATTATTTTTTTTGCTCTAGTATCTCAGGAAAGGGGAGTTTTTAAAAAATCCACGATGGCAGTTTCATCAGATGGCAAAGTTTTTGTGAGGTTTGCTTTTTAATCACTTCCCAATTTTGAACTTCCCTCCCAAAAATTCAACACTCTATTTGGGATCAAATGTATCTGGATGTGAGAAAAACAGATCTAGAAGCTGAATGACCATAAACCTTTCTGATAAAGCAGTTAATGAACTTTTTATCTAGAATACCTATCATATCAATCAGCAATGCATCTTTCAGAATTTTTCCTCAACCGATGAAATGAAGAGGCCTGGGCTGTGCTTTCTGACAAGAACAACAAATACTTAAGTAACTTTATATATCAAGGACCACACTGAGCTTTTTAATGCATACATGTTAATCCAAGAAATCCTCACTAATCTATAAAAAAAAATTCTCATTTTATAGGACATCAAACTAGGCTCAGAGAAGCTAAGTGACTTGCCTGAGGTCACAATGGCATAAAATGGCAGATCCAAGATTCAAACCCAGGTTCGGTAACTACCAAACCTATGCAATTAAAACTATGCCATTGTTGTTTTTCCCACTCCTATGACTGTAAATAGCACAAACTGATCAAAACAAGGCAAAACTCTCTGAATAATCTAAAACAGTCCACAGAATTACTGGATCCTACACAGTAGAAAAAGGTAGGAAAGATAAAGAGATAATCATTTCAGGATATAAACAATTTCTCATTATCCATATTCCAACAAATCTAAAAAAATTCTTAATCATTAAATATGCTTTACAACATAGTGCTAATGATGCCACCACCCACTGGGAGTTATGTGCTAAGTCTCACAAGACTGCCTTCTTTCATTATCTTTTCATATATCCTCTTTTCTTTCCCCAAGAAAACAATTGGATTTTCAAGGGTAGTTATCATATATATTCATTTTTAGAGCCCTAACAATATCAAAACACCTGGAATGTGGCATTTATACTTGTTCAACAAATAAATATTAATCAACTCACACAAATTTTTTCTGTGCTAGAAAAAAAAGAGATCACAAATCATGATGGGAAAATCCTAGACTCCTATTCAATGAGATTTCAAGTGACCATCAAAGGAATCTCAGAAGTCTGAAATCTTCCTTATCAGACATGACCATTTGGTTCAAACTGATAGATGCATGTTTTTATATAGTTATTGGGTGTGCACTTGACAATTCTTTTTTTTTTTTTTTTGCACTTGACAATGCTAAATCATGCTGCCAATCAAAGAGACTTTTAACAAAGATAATATAGGATTAAGTGGTAAGAGTAATGAGAAGCTAAAAAAAAATTTAGGGAAGAAGAATGACAGATGTTCACTATTTAGAAATTGTTCAATCATCTGTTTTCCAAAAGAAAAAATCTTCATATTTTTATGTTATACCAGCTACAAATAGGTATTAGGAAAATAATGATACTCCTTTTGAATTATAAGGAAAACAACTGTCATTATTACTGTTTCAAATATTTCTAAAGAGAAATTCTTTCCTTTCCCCTTTTTAGTACAGTATCGCATGTCCCTATGCCAAAGTGTCACTACTGAATTCAGACAGGAGAGCCAGTGGGTATAGAACCCTCAACCATGAGAAAAAGAAATCTCAGCTGATAAGGAAGGAAAGGAAGTCAGGCATTAAATGCTGGCTTAGGGGACAGACCAGCATTGACAGAATATTTGAAATGTGAAAGAGAGACACAGACTTTATTGTAGTCTAACACATGTTTGTAAGCTACCAGGTGTGCATGAAGTAGTGACCAAGATATGTACACACAGATAGGAAAGGAAGGAGCAGAAGGATCAACTATCAGTTTAGTACTTGGAATTCAGAAAGCAAAGTCACAATCTTGGAAATGACCCTACCCAGGCCTATGCAAAGGAACAATTAACACATTCTCAATGTGACACTACCACAAATAATACACTGATATTGACATTAATAATCAATAACAAACTGTGTTTTTAAGTCAAGAATACAGTCTGAAAGATAAAAGGTATATCTTTTCAATCTTTGCATAGCAGCTTAATCTTCAGAAATCTTAGGTACTTTATAAYAGGAAAGGAACAGTAGAAAATTAAGAGTAAAAAGATACAGTAACTGTAATACTGCATTTCCTCAAAAGTAAAAAATTTCAAGCTCAAGTCCTTGTAAACTGGAAAGCACTGACAAAAAGAGAAACCACCATGCACTTGTCTCGGGTGTAAATCCACCTCAGAAGGTGGAACTATTCTAACCCAAAGTAAAATATCTAGGCTTTAAGATTTTGCCCTCTATCAGAGTTAAGGAATCAAGTTTTCCCAGCAAAGTTCAATGTCAACTTGCTGTCAAAACAGCAAGTTCAATGTCAATTCTCTTTCCATTAATGAGTCAATGTAGGTGATTTACAGGAAGGTAGTTTTTCAGGTTATAATTATAGAGGGACTGTAGGTAAGCACAATCCAGGTGAAAGTTTGAAGTACATGTACTTTGCTAACCCAAAAGAAAATAAAAGGATAAAGAAGAAACATATGAAAAATTTGCCTTTATAAGACAAAGATTTACTAATGAATCCTGCTACAGAATTTTATAGCACAAAACATTAAGGATGTCAACAGATAATGGAAATGAAAACAAGAATCATAAAAGTTTTGAATGGGTGATAACAGGATAGTTGTAACAAGTGAAAGTCTGGCTAGCAAACAACTTAAACTTAGTATTTTCACTTTCTTTTAAAACACAGCATTTACTCACCGTCATTAATTATCTTAACTCTGTTTTCCATTATCTTTTAAATTATGGTCAAAATCTGTTGATTTAACAGTAACAGCTAGTATAAACAAGATTCTACCTCACCTTATTCAGTTACCAAATCAGATATTCTTGATTAATTTCTATCAAAAGTTCTGCTCATATATGATTGTGAACATATAAGAATTTAAAGGGAAATGGGAAAAATTAGGGAGCCAGTGGAGTTCGTCAGTCAGTGAGCCAAACGTCCATGGCCCTTACAGCTGGCACTGCTTTCCTAGGATGAAGGAGAGCTCACTTCAGAAGAGTTCAGAAGATTCAGGAAAGGCATAATTCATTAAAAAAAAACAAAAACCTCCCACTTCTTATCAGTAACGTAATTGGCAAAACCAACAGTGAAACTGATTATTATTTATTCAGCAAATGCTTATAGGGCAACTGGAATGCAAAATGAGACACAGTGTTATCTATTGAGTTCACAGTTTAGATAGTGAGAAGGAAGGGGAAAAAAGCATAGCACAATGTTTCTATAATGCTAGCCATAGGAGCAGAGATAAACCTCCTTTTTGATAATGCAGCTAGTAACAGAACTACAAATAAGGGAGGAAATACAACTCTTAATACATGATGATACAGGATTCAGGAAACAAAAAGTAACAAACTAAAAAAGAATACTTTAAAAATCGCAAATTGTCAAGCTGCTTTTATTCATCAAAAACATGTTTTAAAAGCACATTAACAGGAGCTGGGGTTGTGGTTCAGTGGTAGAGAGCTCACCTGGCACATGTGAGGCTCTGGGTTCAATCCTCAGCACCACAAAAAATTAATAAACAAAATAAAGATATTGTGTCCAACTACAACTAAAAAAAGTATATTATAAAAAAACACATTAAGAAATGGATTTACCAATTAAGGTCAAATATCCCTTATCCAAAATGCTTATTTCAGATTTAGAAATTTTTCAGATTTGAGAATGTCTGCGTATACATGAGATATTTGGGGGTTGAGACCCAAGTCTAAAGACAAAATTAATTTGTTTCATATACACCTTATACATATACTCTGATGTAATTTTATACAATATTTTTAGTCCACCTACATTTTGACTGCATCCTGTCACATGAAGTCAGGTGTGAATTTTCCAGTTTTGGTGTTATATTGGTGCTCAAAAGCTCCACATTTTGAAGCATCTCAGATATTGGATTAGGAATGTTCAACCTGTATTCACTTTCCTAAAACTGTTTAAAGCTGATAATGCCCAAAGTCTCTCCAGTGAGCCATCATTTAAGCCACCTGTTATGATCCTGCACATACTATCAGGCTTATGGTACTAGTTTGTGCTGATTTGTGTTTTGCTGGACAATGTACATATCCCGGCACCACTACAGACGTTAKAACAATAAGTACATATTCATAATCACCGAGTTTTGCATTGTCAGTAATTATAAAATAATTTTAAATGCTTGAAAGATACAGGAATATATATTTGAGAAATACATGGTTCAAAGAAAAACCAAATATGTAATGGAGGGCTTTAAAACAAAACAAAAAAGTACTGAAGTATTATAGCATTACCTTTTTGTGGGAGTAGGAGCCAGTTTCATGTAGAACTGCCACTCTGAATGGAGGCCACCATGTGTGGAATTCTTTGACCCACTGATGCATCACTGTGGTTGGACAGACAAGTATAGTGGGACCCAACCCCTCGAACCTGCACCCAAATGTCCAAGAAGAAAACACAACCATGAAAGCCTGCACATAGAGTGATCAACTGCTGAAGACAAAAACCCTTAACAGTACAAAAAAGAAAATGCAAGCTGTGGAAGTTTCTTGATATTAAAAACTCAGTGAGGTTATAACTCAGTAAGTAAAATCTGAGTCCAACAATCATCAGTGGATGCAGGAATTAAGAGAAAACACCAAATAATATTAAAAGTTAACATCTATAGTAAAGGAAAGCTGAATAATATTATATAACAAAAATACTTTTCTCTTCCTTTCTATTCCACATTAGTGAAATTATATAAGTGAACACAATAGCATCTTAAATTTGGAGCTTTACATCTACCAAAATTTTTAGCCCACAGAATTTCAATATATCTTCACCATCCTGGGACAAGCAGGACAGAACTAGTGGCTTGAAGGCTGGTGTGCCCAGAGCAACATCACCACCAGGAAACGGAGAACTGCTTTGAAGTGAGTCTATTACTTGCTATGGCCTGCTCTCAGTCCACCATGCTGCCTGCTTCTCCATATGGCAACACCTGGAGAAGCAGCCAGTGACTGTTCTCCCCAGGAAAGGCTATATGGTAGACTGTACACTGATACCACTGTGTGGAAAGCAGCTGAGCAGCACACGACAAGCAAGAGCCTTATGAGCAGTCACCCAGGGGCCCAGCAATCCCAATACAAACATTTAGTACCAGAACACACACTTTAGTRTTATTTATACTACAGAAAAAGCAGAGGCAACCTAAAAGTTCAAAAAGAAAGTGTTGAATGAACTATCTCATGTCTTTTGCACAGCACAGGTTAGTAGTTAGGAACGCTGCCTGGGTCTGAACCTCAGCTCTACTTGCACTAAGTTGTCATCTTGGGCACATTAATTAACCTCTCTGAACCTCACTTATCTTCAGATGGGACCAATGACAGTACTGATCATTGGTTACTAAGAAGATTAAATCAGTTAACATGTGTAGTGTGCTTAGAACAGGGTCAAACAGTAAACTATAAGAGTTTGTTAAGACAGAATATCATATAACAATTAAAATAGTTTTTGAAGAATGTTTAATAACCTGGAAAATGTTCATAATAAATTCTTATAAAACAAAATCATTTATGGAATCACCCCAATTTTTTGACATACAGGTAGCCAGGAGACTGGTGGTGGCCACTGTGTCAATTTCCTCCTCTTCTCTCTCCTTCCTAGCAGAACTACATATTTGGGTAAATGCCAATCCCCCCACATACACACACACACCTTCCACAGACATGTTCTCTATGAAGTTGGAATTCTGTTCCTCTAAAGCCATTCAATGCACAGCACATCCCAGCAACTCTCACAGGTCCACAGAACTGGCCTAGTATGACTGTCCAATTTAGGGAGGAAGGACTTACATAAACTCCAGCTTGGGGGGGACTTTTCTCTCTCAGTTTATCCTGCTACATGTACAGCCCAATAGCAGGTGGCCAAGTACTAGTTAATGCTTGAAGTACAAATTAAAACCAACCACATCAATTTCATGCACACCAGGGTCACACTCAGCTCAAGCTCCAAGAGGCTGATCAAGGCCCCAGGCCCTGGATGCCACCTGGCCTGACTCCCTCTCATCTGAAACAGTCACATCTTAAACTGCCCTATCCCTCCCCTCCTTCTTTCTGCTTGTGTGAAGCAAAATGCACTTGAATTACTCCACAGTACACAAATTTCCTCTGAGATATCCCTAATCCCCACAGCTTCAATTCTATCTGTGCACCCAGGATGCCAAGAATGGGTCTCCAGCCAGATTTCTTTCCTTAATTCTAAACTATCCTGCACTAGATATCTAACTGCTGATGCGGATGTCCCCACTGCAGCATACATCAAAAGCCCCCTTCACCCCAGTTTCCCTGTCCAGTGGACCGAGAACATCCACCATTCTCCAGGGCCTATTCTGAAGACCAGGCCTTATCCCTTAATCAGCCTTTTTGTACTCCAGCAGAAGCAACCAAACTCCCAATATTTCCACCTTCTAAATTTCTCTCCAAGTTCTCATGTCCCTCACTCCATACTGTCATAGTTCTATATATTGTCACAGTTCTAGCCACCATCATCTTTCATCTGAGTTATGGCACCTTCCAACATGATCCTTTCTCAGAGCAAAATCTGAATGTCTCATACCCCCAGTTCAAAGCCTCCAATAGCTGCCACTGCTTGTGGGACAGAGTACACACCTTGGTCTAGCCTGTAAGACCATGAGAATCTCATCTCTGCTCACCCTTACAGCCTCACCTCTCTCACTGTCATCACCCTAATACCTGCCCACATGGCCAGCACCTTGCCAGCCTGAACTGTCCTCAGTTCCTACAAAGTGCATTCTGCTGACCTTTCAACTCTCACTTGCTTTTTATCCTCCACTTCCTCCCAGCTACCTTCTACTCATCTCAAGACCTCAGTTTCCTCCATAGAGACTTCCCTGTCTCGTTCTCTCCAGACATGTTGAGGACCCTTCCTTAGAGCACCTATGCTAGTTAGGACCCCACTGTGATCCTTTCATAATAGTGTTACCCCTCCTGAGCTTCTTGAGACTATGGATAACCTCTTCTTCAAATGATCTCAAATTGGCATTATTACATGAAAACACTTTTTAAATACTGGAAGAAAATATGGTCAAAGTATTCAGAGATTACTTCCAAGTTGGGGGATCATGATTGATTTTTTGACTCCTGAACGGAAATTTTTTTTTTTATAAATAGAGTAAACCACACGGTGCTTAAAATATTCAATATCATCTTCTACGCAAATGAAAACTGGTGGTTCTAACAGAAAAATGAGATTTGGGGCCAAGCCCTAACTTTAAGGAGGCTTACCCTATACTCCAACATGACAAAATGCCTCTGTCTGCTTATGAATACTCCCACCTCCTGCTATGCATGGTTACTGCCCCTGGCTCTCAGAGTCAGAGCAGAAGAAGCCAGAGGTCACAATAGACTCAACACTTCCTAGAGAATGTCCTCAGACTATCCAAGCTGAGATCTTCACCAATGGCAGGGCCCTGACAGATGCCCTTCAAGCTCCCTGGGGAGAATGGGACTCTGCCCTGGCCCCTTCCAAAACGGCATTCCTTTTTAAAAGGATTAAAAGCACAAGCTTCTTTATATCCTCCAAGGGTCATAAAAGAGAATTATCATCAATATGCACTTAGCAGGGATTAGGGAACAACCAATCAAAGACTGTTTAAAATATTTAAAAACAAGCTCACATTCAAATAAGCATGAATTCATACATATGGCTTTTTAGGTTGTAAACCATTTTTTTTTCTTCTCTTTATAACACACCTTCTGTAAACTGCTACACTGATGACTCACACTTTTTCATTTAAGGCAACTATTTTCTTCGGCTTTACATCTATCTGACATTATTATACCCTTTAATTTCTGCCATTCTCCCCACCTCCCTCATTAAAATAGGGAGATTTTCACACTGAGTTGAAATCYCAGAGCTGAGGCAGATTGTTCCTGGACCACAGAATGGGCAATAAAACCCATTAACAATCACAACAACTGAACCACCCTTTCCAACCTCAATATCAATGAGATGAGCCTAAGAAATGGCTAAATGTACTAGAGTGATTAGCATCAATTACCAAACAGACTCCAGTTCCTTTTATCTTTAATCATCATTGATTACCTAATGAATTTGGTACGTCAACAGCTTCATGGTCAAATATTTAAATCATAAGGTTGGAAACCTGCTAGTCATAGCCAGGAATTACAAAGTACAATAAAAAGTTTAATAACTTTTTTGGGTGTTCATTCTTAATTAGAAATTAACTAAATGATAACCAAGACATTAAAGTACTAACTTAAGTTTGAAAGGTAAATAATTTTATTTCCTCTCCATCATAACATTCAGGGGCCCATCATTATAATAAAAATGGCAAGGTGAAAAGAATGCAGTATATCCATTATAAACCAGAAATAAAACAACTGGTTTAGATTTTTATTAACCACATGTAATATGTTTCTCCCTCTTCTAAAAACAAACAGGCATACAATACACATTTTTAAAACACCCAACAACAAACCAAATTTCTTTTACTATGAAGTTTCTTGGTATCACACAACTTTTCATGTTCCAGTGTTCATGAACCTTAAAATTGCAACACTAAGACCATCTCAAATTTGGCCCCCAACATCTTCTGCTGCAAGAATTCAGGAAAAAAACGTACATAGCCAATGAAGCAATGCCAGCTCATGCATAACTTCATTTGACCTAAAGGGCTGATGATTTTTCTTTAGGACACAAGCAAAGAGGAGGACTCTTAAGTTCACCTAGTTTCAGGAGAGGAAATGTTTTAAAAATGTTAACCAATTTGCCTGGGCATGTGAAGTGGAGGGGAACCAAGCTCCTCAGTACACCTCTATATGTAAAGACCCTAGTTGTTTGGCTGATATATTACAACATTCTCAGAAGCTACTTCCACCAATACTATTTTAATAAAGATGATCTGGGCACTAGTCCAATATGCTGCACTATTTCATTATGAAGAAGAGGTTATGGGCATTGATAGTTAATTGATTACAGATGATGCTCATTATTAGTCCTGACTTCCACTCCTAGTAGGATTGTCACCACTCAAGAGAACATGTTTTAATTTTTAGATTAAAACTACACTGCAGGGATAACTTTAGGATTCCTAGGCCCAGAGTATTAGACTCCATACAAATTTCATAACAGGAAAGGAAGGGAAGGGAAGGAAAGAGGTGGGAAATTAGAAAATCCCAAAAATCATTTAAGGAAAGACAATCCTACAAACCATCTGGGGCAACTTGGGACATTCTAGTTACCTAAACAACAGAAACAAAACAAAAAAACCAACAGAGAGGACAATCAAAGAACTTATTTGTGGGCCGGGGACATAGCTCAGTTGGTAGAATGCTTGCCTCACATGAACAAGGCCCTGGGTTCAATTCCCAGCACCACCAAAAAAAATGTGGGGGGCTTATTTAAACAAAATCATTTTTTAAATGCTAAACTAATCACAGTCATAAATAAGAAAACCCTATATGCCCATATTCAACTTTGATTTTTCCCTTGGGTTGAAATGTTTTTACATATTTCCAGACAAAACATAACAGAATTCTAACATTTGAGAAAATCCTCTGCTTCAATACAACTTCCTTATAATGACATTGACAAAATATTTAGCATTTAAAACTTTCTAAATGTTTTCCCTCCTCTTGCATCCATATAAATACAATGGGAACTTCCAATTTTTTTTTAAACTTCAAACATTCCTCAAAAGAAATACTGATCTGCTAACTGAATGAAAGAACAAGAAATAAAAGCAAAATGCCAAACTCTGAAGACTAAAAATAACAGTTTTTACTCAATAGCTCACAGTCAGTATTTGACTCTCTATTAAACATTTCTCTGCTGACACACTGAAGTGAAGGACAGTAACTTTCTGCAATTGCTGATTTCAGGCACACAGACACTGTTTTAAAGGCATTTCCAAATCATATGTTGGGAGTACCTGAGATTCCTAGGTCACAACCATCTCTCACTCATTAGATAAGTCTACCAAAACACAGGAGCTCTTGGATTATCTGGGTTCAAGATGAAACATCCTATATAACTTACCTGAAATATTTTTACTAATACAGACTTCCATAAAGCCAATTTACAACTTAAATATGGAAATGTACTCAAGTCCTTTACTTCAAGATCAGGTATTTCAGTCCTACCATACTGAACAATAAAATACATTATTTTAGAATACTAAAGTTCATTCACATTTTTAAGGACAATAAAAATTAAAATCTACACAGTCTTTTTGGCCTTGGCCTTAGAATGTATATGAAATCGTAAAGACTGGGAGGGGAGCCACAAGGGGAGCACAGTGAGTAGACAAGTAACTTCATTCAAAAAGAAAAAGAGTGCTTTCTATAAATGCTATCACAAGCACTGACTATAAAGGAAATTAGGGAGAATGGCTTCTTCAAAGCTCCAACTTTCCCCATGAATAGACTTTGTGCTTACTGTAATGCTCACCTGGTCTTCTGCCAGAACAAATATTTTAATGTAAAATTTAATAAATGGAACTAAAGGTATTATGTCTAATTTAAAATTCCATATTGTGTAAACTATTGATATTAACATAATTGAGTTTGTAAACAATCCATTTGCAGGAGCTAACCTTAGACATTGTATTGACCCAAAATATCTAGTGGGGCTCATCTGCAAAATGAAGCATCAATGCCTGGAATTCATTAAAAGTGTTACATGTTTAATTTCTCCTGCCCTACAGCTCCATTGTCTCGTAAAATTTTTCCTTTGATGTCCCCCACTAAAAGAATTAAAGGAATATTGTAATTGAAATGTCATCAATAATTCACAAGACCCTCCTCCACAGCAATACATCTGATGAAATATTAATTGAGCTCCACAGACTGACAGTCTGCAGAGGAGCACTTGCCTGTAATTTGAACCACGAGTCCTGATCTTGCTGTAGCTCAGACCTGCCAAGAAGGCAATTATCTGGATGGTCTTGCCCAATCCCATTTCATCTCCCAGAATTCCTCCTGCCTGCTGGCAGTGCAATTCCCACAGCCACCTAACACCTGTCTGCTGGTACCTACAACAAAAAACACCAACAAGAAAAGAGAAAACGGCAAATGGTAGATAATACGGATCATAACAGAAAGTACTCATGAATTAATCATTTGGCTAGGTTCTAGTACCAGTCAGAGAAAGAGGCTGGATGTGTGTTTTACATGAGTATTATATTTATAAGGTCATACATTTTTGATCACCTAGGCATAAAATCACAAATTTTTCTTTACAGAACATTAACACATTTCTAATTAAACTGATAGATAGGGTAATTAGGGACTATTTCATTTCTTTTTCAACATTAGGAGTAGCTTAGTAAACAAGCATAAACTTATTATCTTTTATTCACTCTCTAGGAAAAAAAATTCCAAATATTTTTAGTCTAAAAGTTTCATACTTTTTTGTATGAGGCAATATGTTTGTTTTTTCAATCTGAATAGCATTAAGAAAGCAAAACAGATAACACCACAATTTATAACTTATACAATTGTCAAGTAACTTGATAATCACATTATCTTTTTTTAGGAAAAATTAAATTTTAAGGCAATAAACAAGTCTGAATACTAGGGCTGCTCTCAAAATTAGTACATAACAGATGACTCTGCTGTACCACTAGCAGATACAAAAAAGAAAGTTTAAAGACTCAATAATACAAAAGTTCTTTTTAATATTTTAAAATAGAAATTGATTCAGGGATTTTATCATAAGGACAAAAAGATTAGAGCTATTAAAATTTTAAATAAGAAAAACAGGTCAAAGAGAAATAATATATCACTATCCCTCTCAAAAAAAAAAAACACACAAAATATAGGAGTTGGTATTTTCTTATCTCCACTAATAGAACAGTCTATAAATCCAAAACTGAAGTTTTTTTTTTAAAGGAATAATGCAAAACCATTTTTATGAAAGACTTAACATCACTCAATAATATGAAGATTTTATGACATGTTTAAAAATCTAAAATAAAAACTACTTTTTTCCAAAGACAATACCAAGTCTAATGAGCTACCCACCTTAGAAGAAGATGGCATTACTCTTGTTGTTTTACTGTCCCAATATTTACTATTTGGTATCTGGTATGTGTACCTAAAATCTCACTTAGACCTCAGTTCTTATTGAGCTGATTTTATTTAACCTCTTTCCAGTAATTAACTTTCCCCCATATTCTGCAGATCAATCTAGAAGTGTTCCTCTAGCTGTTACCATTACCTACAATGTAACGAAAACTTTTGAGAACTCTACTACTTTAGTTTTCTAATTATAAAATACACCCTGGATATGCACTTTGGAGAAGAGGGTTAAAAATCAAAACATAATGGTCTAGTATGTGTATAAGATCATTTAATTCAGAAAGAACATGTTCCATAAATATGTTGGATGTAAACAAAGAATAATTAGTCTATTGCCGGGGAGGCACTAGGCCTGGTGGTTTGGACACAGAATCACAAATAAACTGCATAGAGGCAGTTATCAGTACATTTTTAATTAGGAAACAAAGGCTCAGAGTGGTTAAGTAACTTGTCACACTCAACCAGTTTCCAGAATCACTGAATTTTAGCCAACTGACCTCCTCTTAACTAAGCTACTATGGGAGCAGCTCCTCAGGGCAGGAATCAGAATCTCCCCTCTGGCATACTACCTATACTACCTCCACCCAACACAGGGCCAACACCTCTCTTTATCTGGGGCCTAATAAAAGTGGGAAGAATCTGGAGAACAGCAACTGGGAAATTTTGATAAGGAATGGTAATCAGTATGGTATCCCAGAAGTAGTCTGGGAGGGAGCTAGAACACTGGATTCCACATGACCCTCGAAAGGCAATGTGCTGGTTGTTATCACATCCCCAACCTCATTTCCAAGAGCTCTCAAACAGCATGATTGTGTGTTTACAAGAAGATGGGTAGCACTAAAGAAATGACTTCAGGAAAAATCTGTAAGTCACATTTCCACATGGAAATCTCCAATAGGCTATTGCACAAAGATGGTACAGAGTAGCTCGTTCTTTACACCCACAGCACAGGTAGATCCTTGAAGTTGAAGGAAATTCACTCACACATGCACTATGGTCAGCAGGGGTGTATGCTGGGTGAGGAGTGAGGAGGCCTGGGCTCTGGTTCCAGCAAAGGTACTGACTAGTTTTATTGCTCTACTTTTCAAATAATAAATAGTGTAAAATACTATAAAACAATTACACAGTTGAGATGAAAACAGATTACAGAATCCAGTTTCAAAGCCTTTGAAAAGCATGAAAATTTTTCTTTAAAAAGGTAAAGATTCTTATAAACTATTTAAAAGTATTAACAAAATATTGTACTCTGCCATCTCCATGGTACCAAACATCACAAAATAACCACAAAAATTGGTGTATATTAGCACTGCCATATTAACTCAAGCCATTTTAGTTTGGCTAAAAGTAAGGTCAAAAGATAGAAGTCTGTCATGTGACTGCTAAATTATACAGATGAATGCATTTGCTGGGCAAACTTTCAAAACAGAAATTTAGAAGTTAGACATTATCTTGAAGAAAACAGCACTTAAGTGGATAACTCTACCTTCTGACTCCCTGGTGTACAACTATAGACCCTGTTAATTCAATTCCACAGAGCACAGTAAAAACATATCTATAGTTTAAAATTAAATTGGCCTGGTAAAACTTAATCTTAAAAGAAAAATGGAGACTCCTATTAATCTTTTTATACAGTAGAAGAACAGGAACAGAAGTTTTAAAACACTTATAAAATATTTAAAATTCTGGTTTTGATGAACAATAAAATACTTTCTAAGAATGTATGTTTAAAACTAATTAAAAACACAAACATCATGCATTCAATATTTAATACAATAGGGTTAATAGTCAAAATATTGACTCTTAGTAAGTACAAACATTCTTAGTAAGCATAAGTTTGATTCTATTAATTGTAAAATTTCTTTGCTAGAAAACCTGACATTTATATAAAAATGCATATTCAAACTCGACTCCTCAGGTTATTTGCCAAATCACTTACTACACATGCAGAAGCATCCTGTTTTTGTTAAATCAATCGAATCTATAATGTGGGTATTCCTTTTGCTAGTACAACACTCATATTATTCCTTAATAAGCAATCAGTTTAGAGAAAATGAAAGAGTGGCCGTTAAATGTTGCCTTTATTTACTTTCCCATGGTTGGTTTTCATTTGGGAGAAGCAATAAACAAAGCAGCCACCTCTCCAGGCTATGAAATTACTTCTCTGCAGAAATTACTAGAGATTCAAATTTTACCTGCAATTCTTCTCTATTCAGTTATGGTCACCCAAGTGCATCAATTCGCCTATTCTAAGGACTCCTCTTTGCTCTAAGTGTAGTGAGATGAAATAACTACTCTTTACCTCTCCCCCAACCCTGCATAGAGAAATTAAAACCATAATAAAGGATTGAGGATGTAGCTCAGAGGTAGAGGACTCACCTGGTATGCCTGAAGCCCTGAATTCGATCCCCAGCCCAATACACATATCCCATGTATATATGGAGGGTTTGTGTGTGTGTGTGTGTATGTATATGTGTATATACATGGACTCTTTGAAAGGAAATATAAAGAACATGCTATATTTTATATACATATATATATATATATATATATATATATATTTTAGTTGTAGTTGGATACAACTCCTTTACTTATTTGTTTGTTTATTTTTATGTAGTGCTGATGATTAAACCCAGGGCTTCACACATGCTTAGGTAAGCGCTCTACCACTGAACCACAACCCCAGCCCAAAGAGCATGCTATTTTTAAGCAGACATTTTCCACAAGTTTAGGGCATGGCTGATGCCTGAATCTATAAAGGACATCAAACTTAATCATCTCACASAAAGAAATTTGCATCCTGCTACCAACTATGAATTGATAGGAAAAAGAGAGAAAGAAGCTATTTAATGGTTTAATTTCCTATATGCACCTAAGAAGCCTTCCTAAGCATCTTGTTAAGTAAATCCTAGGAGTGAGGAGATGGAAAATGTTCCTTACTATTTACATTTATCATGGGAGATGCCCAGCCTATAGACTCAAAGCGTACATCTTATCAGGCAGCAGTTGTTCATCCCTAACACTCAGCCCTTTTACATAAGAAACAAGTCAGCCTCAAATAGCAACTTAATCCTTGAGGTGTTGCCTAAGTCTTCTCTTCTGACATTAGAATGACATCTACATAAAATATTTAGAAGCACATTTGGTCAACTCAAACGTATTATACCCTTAGGTATGATATAGGACACTCAGAAAATCATGTGAACATTTTTTTATTTCTACACAGAAGTTAAAGGGGGGGGGGACCCTTCCAGGGGTTTGATTTTTAACATACAACTCTTGATATTGATTTTAGTATACAACTCTTTTTAAAATTAGTCTGAAGTAAGAATTAGCGGTTTGGTTCCTTAAAATTACTAAAAACAAAAAAATAATTCAATGGAGAGGTTTTTAAATATGTTGCTTTTAGTCTGCTGAGATAGGTCTATATAGATTCATCAGTTTACAAACATACCCAACGCACACTTTAGTCAATTTATTATCATCTAATTTTAATGAACAGCATGTGGCTAAAATTTCATTTGACAGTGTTTGTATTTGCAATAAATTGCTGCCAAGTACCTTAAGGGCCTACAGGTAACTAATGTGTAATTCCTAAAATATTAATTTGTACCCAATGGCTCAATGACAAACTTAAAGGACAAAACACATGGCACATACTTAAAGAGCTTTTTGAACAGAAAGCCTGGCACTTTGAAACCTTCATCAAATTCGGCATCACTTTCCTCAGAATCGTCTTCAAGTTTCAGACGTTTCTCTTTGTCTTGCAGTCTTAGTTTATTCCACCTCCTATTATGAAAATAAAAATTACATTTCCATTACTTTGGTTATATAAAAATAGGTAGTTCTAGATCACACGCTGGAAAAAAAAACGGCAAATTAGAACAGTATTTCCGGTTTCTGCTGCCATCATTACTCTTATTTTATTGATAGTCAAAGATGGAAAATAATTCTCTTTTTCTGCCTTCTCAATTTGATTCTTATTTGAAGTATTATAGCTGCCCTAGAAATATTCCTGTAAGGTCTCATTTCATTATCAAAACTACTCACTCCTCTCTGGCATACACTAAGGGAAAATTTCTAAAAATATGTAAACTTAGATCTAGAAAAAATTCAGAAAAATTTCAGTATAACAAATTATCTCCAAAACAGCAATACAGTATAACAACATTTTATTTATTTATAATTACTATTTCTGTACTAAAAATGATAGTCATTAGCATAAAACAACACAGTATCTTGGACATACAGCAACTTTTTAGTCATAACTGCTTTATCAGATACTCTAATAATTCACTTAACTGAAGTTTGTGGAAGCATCAACAAAACGGACTGATAATTATACCACTCAGAAAAAAAAATGTGTTCATTGAATAAAATCTAAATTACAAATTATTTGCATTCATATAACTAAAATGGACTCTAACATTGTTTAAAAAAAAAACCCACAGTAAATAGCCTCAGATTCTATTCACATTAAAATAAATTAATTTTTTCAGCATACATGCAACTGACATTCTGTTGGAATGTTGGAAAATGGTTGGAATGGAATAAAGCAATACAAATACATGCCTTCAAACTAAAAAATCTCACAGAAAGGGATGAGAACAGTAACATACAAAGAAGGCATTTATCTGCCACTGACTATGCAATAAAAATAGAGACTGTCTGAGGGAAGGAAGAGAGAACTGAAAGGATTATATACTGCCCAGTGAGAGGTAGGGAATGTTTTCCAGGACACATTATAAACCCAGCATGGAGGCCAACTGCCAGAGAGATTGGCATTCCCATCCAGAGAGCTGCTGGTAGACCTCAAAGCACATCCATCCTTTGATAAATTCTTCCCTGGTTGAAAATTTCAACTCTTTAAAATAACACAAAGGAGGGCTAGCTGAAATTTACTTGTCATCAATAAGAAAGCACTAGTTGGTTATCTGAAACTGCACTACAGGGTAGTAAGAGAACTTAGAAATAAGATCAATGAAGCACTATTGTTAATTTTGAGAACAGCAAATGGAAGAGGCAGGATATGACCAAGTCTAGGGAAATAGTTATCATACAATCATAAGGTTTAATAAATGATGTTCTTTTTATATAAAAAACTTAATGTACTTAACTTTTAAAGGTAATCTCTCCCTTTCTTTTATTAGTATTTTTTTTCCTTAAAAATTATTTCTGGCCAGGCAYGGTGGCGCCTGCCTGTAATCCCAGCAGCTCAGGAGGTTGAGGAAGGATGATCTTGAGTCGAAAGCCAGCCTCAGCAAATTAGCAAGGCCCTAAGCAACTCAGTGAGAGCCTGTCTCTAGTAAAATATAAAAAGGGTTAAAGATGTGGCTCAATGGTTAAGTGCTCCTGGGTTCAATCCCCAGTACAAAAAAAAAAAAAAAAAATTATTTCCATGCAATTGACAAACTGAAGTATCTCTAAGTGGTTATGACAGTCTTTGCAATTCTTTTGAGTTTCATGTTATTTATAAATTAGTTAAGTACAATGGTTTTCAAGGGGGCAAATCTGCCCTTTTACCCTCAGAGATAATCTGATACACTTGGTTATTGTAAGTGTGAGATGACTAGGGGGACATCCTGCAGGTGGTGTCCAGATAAACATCCTACAACTCTCAGGCTCCTCACCTTTGCCAATTAAAAGTTATCTGGTCTCACATGCCAATAATGCCGAGGCTATGAAACCCTTAATATCAGAACTTAGAAACTAAAAAGACACACGTATTTTTTTCCTGGTGCACATATCAAAATTCTTGCTACTCATTCTCTGAAATTTAGCAATCAAACAGTTTCAGATAATGAGATAATTCCTCAGTACCCAACCTTACTATCAATTCAGTACCAAATATCTGCATAACAAAAAATACTTGTATTTAGAAAATTTGTGGATGATGTGAAATTGAAAAAATCGCAAAAACTATCAAAGCCACTTAAAAAGACTTCATTTTGCAATTTCTCAAAGATGACTTTACAGGAAGAGAAATGAAAACACAGAAGATACTGGATTTAGAGAAGTTTGACACAATAACAGCATTCAAATTTCCACACCAGAGTATCATGTATTAAACTTCACTGACAGATGACAGCTATTTCCTTGGACTTAACCAGTAAATCTTTGTGGCTGTTAAATTTCCCACCACATCATTCTGCACTGACAAGGTTTCACCTTCTACTCCTTCCTCTCTCTCACCCTCCTAAAATATATAGGCATCATGTCACCACAGAACTCAGTACCTAGGAAACCACATAAGCCACCACAGAAGTGATTGCAACCCGGTGCCTTCCGCTTCACAAAGACAAAAAGCACTGAACATTTATTAAGTTTGGCCAAAGGATGAGTAAAGGTGGTGGGGAAAAATCATTATGACCTATAAGTACCTGTAGTATTGTGAAGACAAATTGTCCCAGCAGAATCACATACACGTTACAGACAAAATACCAGGTTGATAGAATCTCAGGCATATGTAGCTCAGGCAAAAGATTCTGTTAGCTACAGCAACGCTTCCTTGCTTCCTCGTGTGGCTTAGAGCTGACCATCTAAGGCATGCCCACAGAAGTGATGCAGCAAGATGCTGGCCAAAAAGAGGGCTATACAGAATGTGGTATACCAGGGAGAGGTGGAGCTCATATCACCTGAATACAGACATAGAGAAGTTTTCCCCACCCTCGGTGCTATCAAGTATCTTAAAGATGCCCTCTTCAGCTTATTAACCAGGTTGTCCTGAAGCCTTGAGCTCAGCAAGCTATCTGACCATAAGAGGAAGCAGTGCTATGAATATGCATTATAGGCTAGACATGCAAAAGCACAGGCCCACAAAAGTCTGGGTGCACATTGGCTAGAATCAAATTCTGCTGCTATTAGCTCGTTAACCCTCACCAAGTCGACCAATCTTGTTAGCACCTACGCTTCCTCCATCCTGTGATGGGGAGACCACCACTACCTACTTCACTGAGTTTGGGGAGGGTTAAACTAGGTGTCACATGCAAAGACTCAAAGCCTAAAATATAAGAAGAGCTTAATCAATTAAAATGGTACTACGTTCACTTACTTAAACTTGCTAAAATCCTCACTATAACCCTGCAGCTGGCACTATTACCACATTCACATAGAGAAAGAAACAGGCAATAGACAATGCAACAAAATATGCACACGACAACGCAATGCAMCACAAATGTTTAATAGAACATGCATATTTGAATTAAAACTAGGATAACATCAAATGGGATGTTCAGTAAATTATTATGAATGTGATCACTATATATACGTAGATATTTGCCCTTCAGAAGACTATGGTACTTAAAAAATCTTGCCATGGGCTGACGATGTGGCTCAGTGGTTGAGTACATGCTTAGCTCTACATGCACAAGAACCTGGGTTCAATCCCCAGCTCCAAAAATAAATTTTTAAAAATTTCCATAAATTTGTAAACAATTTGCTGTCATGAAGTATGGTAGGTTACTATATGCTGTAACAAAGGCAGATGCAGACACAGAGTAACTTGAAATGGCTAGGGGCAGGTCAAAGTCAAGATCTATGCCTAAGTGAGCTGGAATCCAGACCATTAGGAATGGCTCCAAAATGTCTAAATTCTGTTACTTCAATAAATACACCAGCTAACTGAGAGAAAGCAGAAGGGGGCAGTAAATTATCCAATACTTACCTTTTTAGAAAAGAAATAACTTTTTCAAGTTCTCTATCCTCTCATTTAAAAAAATCCGCACATGTAATAGTCACAGCTGCAGCCACATAAAACGAAGTGGGCCTGGTGTTCCCTGGCAAGGTTTCTAACTCCTCGCATGGCTGCCACGTTCAACCCGCTATCAACTCCACTGGCAGCCACTTAGAAAAGAAGCCAGTAATAAACATAAACTTACAATTCCAATCAGATGCAGGCCCAGAAAACACTCCCTGGCTTGTCCACATTTGTGCAGGAATGAGACCCTGGTCCAGGTTGCAGGGTCTAGGGCTAATCCTGCAACAATGACCTGTAGATGCACCTCAGCCTAAAACTAGTTCAACTGCATCAGAACCAGTGTAAAATGATGGGTCTCTCATCAATGGAACCCTAAGAATATACCCAAGAGCAAGTTGCCACCATCTAAAGTTAATTTATTTTAGAATTTCCAGCATTCAAGAATGTTCACATAARTAGAAAAACATGGCTAGCCACCATTATGCCATGTATTGTATGTGGCTTCCTCAACTCTGTCCACCCGCATATCTAGTACCATAATCAACATGCATATCCACCCATCTTTTGAACCTTCAAATCCCTACCCAGAGCAGCACCTCTGATCCAAGTAAATGTTCCCTGACCAGGCAGAATTAACATCCTCTCTTCCAAGTCCCCTTTATAACTCCCACCAAGTATTAGCATATTGTGAAATCCGCATCTGGTCTCCCATTAGTCTTAAGACAGAGACTGACTTTGGCATTTTTAAATTCTGAGAGACTAGCACAATGCTCTCCTCATGGCAAACACTCAATAAATGCCAAATTATTAAGTTCAGAATTGAGCTACAGATAAAAGACAAGCAGACAGAGGGGCATGGCTTGAAAACTGTCAAAGTCAGTCATCAGAAATGGTTCTAGAAACTTCCTGTTTCATCTTATTTAGAGACTACCTCCTGCTCATCTTCTGCTTCTTCTATATGTGTGACTTCTGATGTCCTACACCTAACTCTATCTACTGAATAAACATGGTTACAATCTATGATAAAGAATGACCCCTGGAAGAGAGTGACTGCAAAGAGAAAGAAATTCTTAATTTAGAATCTTGTAACCAA